TCGAATATGCGCATGTTTTAATTGCGCAAAAATTGCAACACCTTGAGGAACTTCAAGAGACGAATATAATAAAAATACACGGAAAAAACAGCATGACTGGCTTACGCATAAATTTAATTATGCACGGAAAAAAAGGTTTGGTTGAATTAACCAAATATCTGGTCGAATATGAACGATCCAGAAATTCCGATTGAAATAACCCGAATTACTGTTTAAGTCAACCAAAAATTTTGTTAACTTAAATAAAATTCGGGTTACTTCAATCGGAATTTCTGGATCGTTCATATTCGACCAGATATTTGGTTAATTCAACCAAATCTTTTTTCCATGTGCTAATCAGATTCGATGGTAAAAATCTACGGAACAATTAATTATGTGGTTGTTGCAACCACAAAGTAAGTGCTGAATTACTAGCGTTGCAGCAGTGACGATATATACTGTAAATAAAATACTGGAGAATTTATTTGTGGGATATAACGTTTATTTTTGCGGGATAAAGTTTATTTCTATATATAAATTTTGTATTCTGCAAATAAATTTTCAAGTATTTTGTGTACCTGTAGTTGTTTCAATCAGAATGTATCCATGGTAAATGCCACAACCTGATTTCTGGTTGTCACAATCAAATTACGTGCAACTACACTGATATAGTTGATGTGTCAAGATAACTGAGTCACATCACATATACATTTCACTGAAAAAAATACTTGGAAATTTATATGTAGGACATCAAGTTTCTTTTTCCGTGAAGTAAAGCTTATTTCTGCGAAATAAGGTTTCTATTAATATATCTATGATCAAACTTTATATCCATCAAATATATAAACTTTCAGATATTTCTTTCTCGGTTACTTTCTCAATTACTATACTTTCTTTTTCAGTTACTATCACACTAAAATAATTATGGGTAATACTACAATACTGCTCACAATTAAATATTTTTGGATACGTGCACCATACCTTTTTTACCGTATAATAAAGATAATAACTTATACGTACAACTTATAGTATAATAACTTATACTTACTCTACAGTAAAGACAATAAGATAATAAAGGTTCTATGATTAAATTTTACATTGTTCAAATAAATTTTCGAGTATTTTTTTTTCAGTGCATCTAAGGCAATTCGGGAAATCCCCCGATAGTTAAGATCTTTGTGTGAAATCCAGCCCGAATTTTACAATGCCGTAGAAAGCCATGGTACACGTGTCTGCCAGCGAGACTCATCGCACACAAACAGCTTTATCAAAGACTCCACTCGCGTACTGCCGAAAGCAAGTCTCCCTCTCGGATGACAAATCTTTAGGCACACGTGTCTGCGAGTGACTCGCCAAAGAGCGAGTAATTCACGGATCTTTAGTCCGGGATTAGCGTGTTGGGTCATTGTGTTAGCGAGCAGCACGATAACGGAAGAGATTAGCGGGCCACTTAGCGAGCGTTAATTCTCGCGAGTCAACTCTCGCGTTCTCCGTGTTGAGAAATTCACGTTGCACGTGTCGCGTGTCCGTTTTGGATCTCCGAGAAAATTTGTCGATCACGTCAAGACATTCTCCCAGAGAAACGATGAGAAGATACAATGAACAATGAAGTTACTGCGACAATTAAGATTCCGCGACACAATGAATGAAAGTATCCGTCGAAGTAGAATCTATATTACCTCGCACGGGATGTACGAACTGTTAAGAGGATACTGAAGCTGAAAACTTCAGAAATCGACAGAACATTGAAATTTTTCTGCAAAGTTTACGTCGTATTGATTACACAGAATTACAAATGCTTCCACACAATGAAAGTACGTGCAAAAATAAGTAGGAGCATTGCTCGATATGTGATAAAAACGAATAAAAAATTTTTAATATAAAATCTCAAGCTGTCAGCATAATATTTGCCTAATCGAAAAGTTCCGCAGCTTATACATACCGAAAGTGTGAATGCTCCAAACAGAAAAATTTTGAAGAACATTGTTCTACCTTTGCATTTGCATTTGGAAGCTTAAAAATATTGAAAAAGTTTGCAGAAAGATTTCTACACATATATGATTAGGTTTTCTGTTGAATATGGTAAAACAAAGCAACACATATTCATATAAGTTCTTTATATACAAGAAATACAAAAAAGATAGCGTGATTATGTTAGTGACGATCGTTTCTGCATTATCGACATTGTTCGAGTTTGTCATTGACTCCAGCATTCCCTTAAAGACCAAATCACACTAACGATTGGCGATTGATGATTGACGATTGAAGATTTTAACTTGACCAATTGGAACAAAGCAAGCTAAGGCTGAAGCTTGTTGATTCGTCAAAATCTAATCTTTAAGGGGACTGAAGGGTCAGATTGTATGAAAATCGTTCTTTCACAATTTTTTATGACAAATTGAATATGCGAGTGTTATTTTGACGTGTATTTATACAACATATAAAGAGAAGAAAAATATAATTTTGATGATCAAATACTCAATATAAGTGTATAGTACATGCAGTTAAAATATATTTCGTTTTTCTTTTCAAGGTCGTCATTTTGCAGTAATATCTTGACTCTTGGTGGTTCAATTAAGTTGAATTTTAGGTAGAAAATTTCTGTAGCTTGTCGTTATCGTGTATGAACCACTGACAAACTCGTGAAAATATTTAATTTTGAAATATTATTTTTTTTACTATAAAAGAACTGAAAATTTAATAATATTCCATTAAGATATTTGCAATTTTGTTAACTTTTACTCAATTTCTATTATAGTGGTTCACACGATAACGACAAGCTTACAGAAATTTTCGATCTAAAATTCAGCTTAATTGAACCACCGAGAGTCAAGATATTACTGCAAAATGAAAAGAAAAGCGAAATATATTTTAACTGCATGTACCATATATATATACTTATATTAAATATTTGATCATCAAAATTATATTTTTCTTCTCTTTATATGTTGCATAAATACACAATGTCAAAATAACACTTTCATTCAGTTTGTCATAAAAAATTGTGAAAAAACAAGCACGATTTTCAAGCAATCTGACCCTCCAGTCCCCTTAATCGTCAATCGTCAATGGCTAACCGCTAGTGTGATTTGGCCTTAAAGTAGTTTGCTCTTCTTTATCTCCAAACTGTCAATTGAAGTTTCCTTCTGCGAGCTGATTGGCCTGGCTCGCGAAATAGGGGTAAGAGATACAGCTCACGAATGTACACACGATAGACTTACGTGGTGTACAACGCGAACGCGTGCTCAGCTCGGTAGTGGGGTGGGAGAGTATAAAAGAGGGTAGACCCACGTTCCTCCCTCGTCCAGTGGATGACGCACCTTTTCAACGTAGCCGTCGTCATCGTCGTCGTCGTCGCGCGCGCGTCGTGCTCGCGTAGAACCACATTCGGCGCACTTGTCACTCACATCGCGATACTAACTTTGCGGGAGTCTTCTATACATCGTCGTGTCGTGGTCGTCGGCGTCGTCTTGTACCGGCGTTGCTTGCCAACCGCATCCACTAGTGCGCCCGTATCTCCGCTCGCCGCTTAAGCGTCACCCTTGCGGATGAACAATCCTGTTCGCCAGCGGCGACAAAGAAAGTCGGCGTAGCCAAGGTATTTCTCCGTCTTTCTTTTCTTCCGTAATCGAGTACTGCGACGCTGCGGACTCGCATCCCAGTAAGCAATCTGTGCGCAGACTGACGTCAGATTGGTGACAGATTTGAGCAGAATTTGTGGACAGATCTATAGACATCTCTGCGTCCTCAATTTGCTGTTGGATTGTCGACAGAGTCTGCTGAACAGAGGCTCTGACGGTAGATTGGCGGCAGAATGCGCGCAGATCCTGCTGCCGTTAGAGTCTATCAGCAGCTCTGCGAGCAAACTGTCTCCAATCTGCCATCAGAATTTGATAAACAGATACTGCGTGCAATCTGTTGCCTTTCTGTCAGATATTGTTAACAGACTCTGCGCAAAATCTGCTCGCGCAGGTTTGACTATCAGGGATCATTCTGTTTTATCATGGAGAAAAAAGTATCGTCCAATTAATCGGAGAAATGGAAGTAGGGCGAGGGGTTGTCAGCGCACGAGAGTGGAAACGAAAAACTCAAGCTTCGTCTCGAGCGACTCGCGAAGCGAGAACACGCGTTGTCATGCGAATGTCATGACAGATATTGGTAAATACAGATACTGGTAGATATTGAAAAATTTATATTCTTATTCTTTAAAAAATTCTCTAAAATAGACACCAAGAGTGTAAGATATTTTAAAAATAACATTTATTCCTCTTGTTTTAAGAGGAAATTTTCTACACAAGGAGAAAGATTTCTCTCAAAACAAGAGAAATAAATCTTATGTTCAGAATATTTTACACTTGGTATCTATTCTAGAGGATTTTTTTAAGAACAAGAATATTAGTATATATACACTGTAATTGAAATTGTAACATAGAGTTTATACTTCCTATTCATATTTTACTTTCTTATATTGATTATATTCTATGTATGGATTGGAATAATTGCCTTAACATTTACATTATTAACGTTTCCGTAATTGTCATTTGTTACACTGTAAAAACTGATGTATTAAATTTAATATTTCATATGTCCCAAATCATCCACTCTCATTTATGTGTAAATTTAACACAAAATAAATGTGGTAAAAAGTAACACGTATAATATGGAAAAAATGAACACAATTTAACATTTGAATACCGTCAGGAATCACAGTTTGTGTTAAATTGACATATGTATAATGTTAAATTAATTAAAATAACGTTACTTTAACATTTGAGAGAAGTATTAATCTATAGTTTTGATGAAATGAAAATGTTAAATTGACACAATCTATGTCTGATATATTAAATATGTCAATTTAACACAACCTGTGATTCCTGTGTATTCAAATGTTAAATTGTGTTCATTTTTTCCATATTATACGTATTATTTTTTAACACATTTGTTTTCTTTTAAATTTACACATAAATGAGAGTGGATGATTTGAGACATGAAATGTGTTAAATTTAACGTATCAATTTTTACAATGTACATATCCAATGCAATATAGAGAGATTGGAGCAATGTGGTTACTATAAGTTGACAAAATCGATTATTTCTACTATTCTTCAACAGATTCCAGAATCAAGCAAGCAAGGATTTTAAAGCCATCTTCGATATATTTAAAAACCTTGTTTGCTTAATTCTTTAACTTGTTAGAAAATACTAGAAATAATTGGTTTTTCCAACTTACCCCGATATCCAACTAACCTCGATCTCCCTAGGTTAGGTTCATAGCCATTAATCTTTAAAACATATACGCCGATCTGTGTACACAGCGACTTCAAACACACAGAAACGACGTAGTTAACGGTTTATTTCCGTGAAGGGGACAAAGAGAAATCCTAATGAGTATCAAAGTTAAATCGTTAAGTACTTTAACGATTGCGCTTTAAGATCGGTTCTTTGAATTGTTGTCCGGTATCGTAGTTTTCTGAGAGACTTATCCTTGGGACTCCAGGAAGCTCGAGTGCAAGCAACCTCGCAATCTAGTTGTAATCGCGGAATGCGGTACCGTATAAGGATCCCGCGTAACTGAAATGTAAGTTCTGAAGAAACTCGGATTCCGTGATTCAGACACGCTGAAGTCAAAGAACTTGGTTTTCGTGGAATCCAGAATCTAAGAGTTGTCAATATAAAGGACATACAACTGAGGAATATTAAAATATAAGACGAACTTAGAACTCATGAAAACTTGAATCAAAAGTATTCTATACTATAGAGAACTCGGAATACATAATGATGATATAAAAATTCAAGATCTAAACGAATAAAATAAAGCTATAAAATTCAAGGAAGCTGTAATGCACAAAAATTTCGCATTGAGAGAAAAATTACCTTAAAATCAACAAATATTTCTTTGATGGGTGCCATTAACGTATTTAATTAAATCTAAATTCTCTTTATTTAAATCAAATATTGTTTACTTGATTTAAGTAAACAATATTTGGTTTAAATAAAGAGAATTTAGATTTAAATAAATATATATGGCATCCATCAAGGAAATATTTGTTGATTTTAAAATGATTTTTTCCTCAGTCTAGAATCTACTTAGAATTTAGGCACTTTAAAACACGTAGAACATATCTTAAAAAGTTTTAAAGACGCGAGAAGACGAGAAGGTCGCGACAGCTATAATTCTGAGAGACGAGATTAGTAAGAGTATAATTAGTAACACTGAAAAATTAATATTCTTATTTTTAGAAAAATCCTCTAAAATAGGCACCAAGTATAAAATATTATAAATATAAGATTTATTCCTCTTATTTTAAGAAACTCTTGCCTCTGTGTAGAGAATTTTCTCTCAAAACAAGAGGAATAAATCTTATGTTTTTAGAATATTTTACACTTGGTGCCTATTTTAGAGGATTTTTCTAAAAATAAGAATATTAATTTTTCAGTGAAGACTTAAATGCGCGACAGATTAATAATAAGTAATCGCGTATAACTCTGAAGTTATTCGAAGAAATCGCACTAATCATAGATTTCGTGAAAGAGCAAGAGCTTGAATGAAAAAGTTCTACACTATGAAGTTTGATCTACAATATGCTCTTTGCTTCCTACTTCTTTCTCTTTATCTCTTTCTAACTTAAACCTTAAGCTTTAAGCCAGAAAAAGATAAAAGACAAGAAACAGAACGCAAAGAGCATATTGTAGCTTAAAGAGCTTAAAGAGCTCGAAATGCACCATGACAATACAAGAAATTAGAATCCGACCGGTATAAATTCAAAGAAGCTGTAATGCGCAAAAATCCCTGAATCCATCTAAAGCTCAGACTTTGACGCGCGTAGGACATATGACTTTAAGAAGATTTAAGGACACGAGAAGACGAGAAGGCCACAGCAGCTATAATTCTGAGAGACAAAATTAGCGGGAGTGGAAAATGCGATGAGTTAACGATAAATAGATGCGTACAACTCTGGGAAGTTAAATCGGTGCACGCTTACACAAGTGCGGCGGTGAGTGTGGATCTTGGACTTCTTAAAAAAGCGTATCTAACAATAAGAATCACTTCTGGCAACGCAACGCAACATTGCTTAAGTTTGAGCTTCAATCATTCTAAGTTTGAGCTTCTATTATTAGCTTCTGTCATAACGATTATGATTGCAAAAAAAGAAACAGCTAATGCCGGCCGCGTTTTATAAACGTCAGCGTGTTTCTACCACACACACTAAAATTCTCTTACAATTTTATCAATACTAATTAAATATACGAAATATTGAGAAATATTTTTAAATATTAAAAACGCGCACAGGTTCCATTCGATCAGTCGGTAAGAATCTCAAAATATTTTAATATTCAACGATACGTATTTATAATATAAATGAAACAAGTAAACGAAGAGTATGGGGTTGTATCGGAGTGATGAATAGCAGTGAAAATATTGCATTCACGTATATCGCGAGTCTGTTTGAGTAGGAGTTGGCGCATTCATTAATCGCAATAGAAGAAATTCGTCCCCAGGCGTACTATTGGCACACACACATACTATTCTCGTAGATCACGTGTACTTGGCAAGGATGCGCATGTTACCACTCGTCGCGCAGCTTAATTAGTATACCACGAGATACAAGCACTTGCCTGTATTTCTTTTATACATAATTGATAACACGTTTTCGCCAGTAAGTAAAGTGACTCGCATCATTCGTCGCGTTATTCATCGTGTCCGCGATCAGCGACCGATCGGTTCTCTTAAGTGAAACTTATGAAAGTTGCATAAAGCCATCAATACGTATCACGATTATTAAATCGAATGTAAATTCTCAACATTGGTTTTCTAGAGTGTGTCATTGTCGTTTGATCCTTGAAATTGCATCGTCGCTGTGTAGGTTACACGCGCGCTAATTAATAATTACGATATATCTTAAAACAATCGTCATGAAGTCGCGTGTATGAAGATAAAAAGTACGCACTCGTAGCTATTGTCTCTCGTTTTCAAATTTTGGGAGAATAACTATTTACACTGAAAGAAAATGTTTAGTATTTGTAGCTATAATTATACATAGAAAAATAATTAGTGATCGTTGTCAAAAAAATATTTTTTTTTATTAAATTCTACAGGGAAAAAATATTTGGTTGGATTAATCAAGTGTCTGGTGAAATATAAACGAACTAAAATTCCGGTTAAAGTTATCAGAATTCTGCGTAAGTTGATAAGATTTCTGGTTAACTTACAACTGTTTAAATTGAACAGTTGCAAGTTTTTATTAATCAGAAATTTTGTTTGATTTTAACTAAAATCTTGTTAACTTAAGCACAGAATTCTAGTAACCTCAACTGGAATTTTGGTTCGTTCATATTTCACTAGACATTTGGTTAATGCAACTAAATATTTTTTTCCGCGTGTGTACTACTATGTTATGTTAGTGATAATTATATGTATATTATAATTACTATTTTCGCGTTGAAATAACCAAAAAATATGGTTGGATTGAAAGTAACTCTATAGCCTTGGATCAACTACTTCTTTCTCTCACTGTGTTTCCGACGAAATTATTCGTAAAAATGATATCATACTCATGGTTCAACAGTATCATTTCGTGCTGGTTTATTATTATTTGT